AAGGCACTATAAACGTGAGTATTCGCATCCGCCATTTTTACTCCTATTCTCACTCTCTTACTCCTTTTCTCAATTCCTTACTCTCTCTCCATTCCGCCGCTAAACTAAGAAGATTGAAGAGAGAAGAGAGAAGGTTGAAGAGAGAATAAACAGTGGGGAAAGGAGTAAAAATGGTGGACGCGAATATCTACGTTTCTAGTGCTCTAATAAATACAACCCCTCTCTTTCTCTCCTTCGACGACGCGACGCGTGACGCGCTCAATGGAAACTCAGTCTTAGGCGAAGGAGAGAAAGTTCGTTGAAGGAGAGAAAGAGAGGGGTTGTGTATTTATATAATTTTATCTCTTTCTCTCTTTCATGACGCGACACGTGACGCGCTCAGTGGAAACGTACCATAAGAAATGAATGAAAGATGTCACTATTATCGAATTTGGAACGTAAAAAAGTCTGTACTATCGACCTTGATTAAGTTCAACCATCACTCCAGCATCCCCTTAAGAGCTGTAAGCTTATTGGCTACCGCGTTGCATTTTGCAGCGCGATAAACGTTTCCACATCCAGTGTGCAGGAGCCATAATTTAGGCGGTGTATCATATAAGAAAAATTGATTTTCCACAAGCTTTTTCCCACTTTAACGCTTTCTCTTTTGAGAAGCGATAAAGTTTCTTATAGGTTGTTAGAAATATGTATATGCGCAAGAATACATCTGAGTTTCTTCTATCAACCGTTGAATAGTCTCTTTAATTTAATTTTATATTTGCATATCTATATTTTCGTATTACTTTTAAATGTCAATAATATAATTAAAATTAGATATTTTGAAGATATTAACAAATAAATTTTCTTTACATTACGTGTCAAATTACGTGGTGGAAAGTCCTGAAATATGACGGACCAATCAACGCGCGACTTTCTCATGTTGTGACTTTTATTGGAGGGCCTCTACTAGACACGAATGAAGTTGCCATCTGGCGACAAATATGGTAAATATATATAAAATTTTCTTGACTTCTCTTTTGATAAGTCTTTTCTGCTATATATAATGAATAAAAAACGAAAATTGTAAACTTATTTTTAAATATATAAGTGTTCCAAGTAATATAAACAAATCTGAAAAATATTCTAAAAAGTTATAAAATTATTCAGAAATTCTGAAAAATTCTCGAAACAATTTTTATCGGATATTACATTCAAAATTTTTGATTATACTATATAACGTATTTGTTGTCGATAAAGAAGCTCATCTGCTGCTTCAAAAGATATCTTAAAAGTTTCATCGTAATATTTGCAGAATTGTAATTTATAATTTCATTATTTTTAATAACAGTATACAGGGTGGGGAAAAAGTATGGAAGCAAACAATTATTTCCGAAACTATTCATTTTTCGACAAAATGTCTTAGACATAATTTTTATGGTATGAAAAGATGTATTATGTGGCATAGACGGCATGACCTTGAAATGACCCTTACGAGCTGCATACAAATAACGTAAAAAATTTCAAATGGAACTCGTCAGTTTTTGTTACAGATTCGTGTAGCTGATGTCGAAACGTTTACAAAACACTGCATATGAGCCCCACAGCTATAAATAATTATGCAAATAATTTATCATGAAGGGAAGAGAGAATAAACAACACATAAATAATCTTTTTTTTATTTAATTCACATCATTAAACATGTTCTGCTAGCAGACAGAAAAGCACCTCAGACAACACGTATATTTAAAAGACATCCCGGGAAAAAATGTTATATATGGATATATTTTATATATAATTATAAATAATTGTATATAAAATATGTTAATTTTTTATATAATTATTTATAATTTTCTATAAACAACACATTTTGTTTGAAAGGCATATACCACGAACGCAAGATAACGGTAGCGATTATTTAAATTTTATTTATATTTTTAATACAAAATATTTATAATAAACGTTTCGGTCCTCGATCAAACCATCTTCAGTATCAATAATTTTTTAACAAATTTCAATTAGCGACTTTATCACTTAACGCAACATGTTTTAATCTTTAATTTTAAGATCGTTAAAACTTCTAATATTAAAATTGTTCCATTACATTATAGGACAATCATTTCTACAAAATTCATAAAAAAAACCAGTAGTCATATAATATAATATTCTATTTAATGATCTGTAGAACCAATATAGTTGTTCATAATTTTAAGATCATTAAAACTGTTAACATTAAAACTGTTCCATTACATTATCATTATAGAACAATCATTTCTACAAAATTCATCCAAAAAACCAGTAGTCATACGATATTCTATTTAATAATCTGTAGAACCAATATAGTTGTTCATTATAAATTTTGTAGAGATGATTGTTCTATAATGATAATGTAATGGAATAATTTTAATGTTAGAAGTTTTAACGATCTTAAAATTAAAGATTAAAACATGTTGCGTTAAGTCGCTAATTGAAGTTTGTTAAAAAAATATTGATACTGAAGATGGTTTGATCAAGGACCGAAACGTTTATTATAAATATTTTGTATTAAATATAAATAAAATTTAAATAATCGCTACCGTTATCTTGCGTTCGTGGTATATGCCTTTCAAACAAAATTTGTTGTTTTTATTTGATCCACGTTTTACTTTGTTACTAGTTTTATATAACTTTATATAATTATATATAATTATATGCATGAAACATTTTTCCCAGGATTTCAAAGACTTTCTAAAAAGACGTCTAAATATTATTTTTTATAAGACATTTTTGGAGCATATATAAGTATTTACATTACCGATTGTAACGTTTGTCGATTAAAATATATGACATAGCCAATCTGATATAATTTATAAAGATGTCAGTTAAAATTTGACGCTCCAATGTATGTAGTGTTCTCTAGGTACTTTACTCCATATTACTTTATTTATCAATTGACTCGCCACACATACATATACATACATATAAATTTCTATATACATATGATACATATGTTTTGTTTACATTGAGTACTGGAATATGATTATTGTTAAGCGTCTTACATTATAAAAACTATAACTCTTGAAACTCTCATAGATAAATTACCGGGCAAGAGCCAATTATTTCGCACTTTCGTATGTTTCAAAAATATTTACAGTTTTATAATAAGTCTCCAGTTTAACTTTTATTCAGTTATCTTCGATTTTAATGATCAATTTGAAAGCGGGAATATCGTCTCCAAGTGATTGATTAAATTGATTATAAGGTTGTCGAGTTGCACTTACAAGTCCAATTATACCTCTAATTCGATTAGTGCAACTATTTCTACACAACTACGGATTGAGCAAATTTTTGTCCAATCTTGGATTGTTTCCATCTCGTCATTTTTCTCGTACTATAAGGTTTTAAAATATATTTGGTTTCTCAATGCGATCGAAAGTTTTCATTCAAATGATACATTAATTATTCTTTGTCGTTCAATTTTCAATCATTATATTGATTGACTGCGTCTAAAATTCTTGACGTTTTCATTTAATTCATATTTTGTCAATTGATAAAAATAAAATTTATTTGACAAAATACGAGATTTTTGGTATGTTGACAGCTAAATGTTCGTTATTTGTTGATCGTCAAGTCCAGTGGCAAATCTTGCTCCTTCTCGGTGACGTTCTCGTTTTTTACTCTGAGGTCTTGGCCGCATGTGTTATTGGTATCCACGATATTGCTCCACATGTTTTCTAGCCCATACTGCAAATCTACTGAACCCAATAGATGTCGAAAGAGCGGATTTTGTGTCTTAAGAATTAGATCTGAGAGGATTTTCGTCTTCTGCAAGATGCTGTCATTGCTGTGGACACAACACTTATGCCGGCAGCAACAGTCGACGTTGGTATCTTTTAATTCCTCTTTGAGCGGCGTCTGTTCCATCTCCATCTTCAGATCCTCCGCGCGCTTGATTACCGAATGCCTCACTGGATCGCAATTGACTGTGTTCTCCTTCTTGCAAGGTGTACTGTTGACGATCGACTCGATGTTCCTATAATCTACCGTAGTAGTCTTGGTAACACTGTACTCCATGGGTTCCTCAGTTTTAATGGGCGTCGACTGCATCCCAATACGCGGCAACGAATCGGACACTCGACCCGGACTCGTATGAGGCGACGAGGAAGCTACAGAGCAATCCTTGATAATAGTGCTACCAGCAGAGTACATGGGATTCACTTGAATCCTGTCCGGTATGATGTAACTTTCATCGTACATCCTGGGATAGATCTTTATATCCTGCTCGTACGGCTTCGGTGGGGTGACTTGCTCCTGTTCTTTTCGTTGTTCCTGGAGGTTGTACATGTTATTCCACTCGACAAAGTTTCTCTGTTCTTCAAAGCTGTTGCTAGTCTTCGGACTGCAACCCGACATGCTACTCTCGATACTCGAGTCCTTCTTATCCGACTCGGAATGCGCACTGCTGCTCTGCTTGTCAGGCGAATTAGCATCGAATCTTTTCTCCTGAATGTTGCTATCATCAAAGCTCTTCTCCTGCACCTTATCATTATTGTTCACATAGTGGCGATAGGTCTTGACGTGCTTTCTTAAAGACGATGGATCGGTGTACCTCTTCGGACAACCCGGAACCTTGCAATAATACGGCTTATCTACGGAATGAGTTCTAGTATGCTTGAATCTATCTGAGGAATTCGAGTAAGCTTTGTTGCAACCCTCGACAGGACAGACGTAAGGACGTTCGCCAGTGTGAGAACGTGCATGAATTTTCAGGTTCTCTGCTCTGCTGAAACTCTTGTCGCACTGGAAGCAATGATGCGGCTTCTCATTCGTGTGTGTCCGTACGTGAACTAGCATCTTGTACCTGCACGAGAGAAACACAGGGTTCATCAAGAATGCAAAAGCGATTGCTGTCTTACGCGCGCATAATATTACATCCGGAAAAATTTTACCTCGCGTTAAACCCACGCTCGCCTCTTGCGCATCCTTCCCATCCACAATAAAACAGACCCCGCGGACCAGGCGCCGCGTGCAATCTCCCAACATGTCCTGCAAGTTGCTCCAGGGACGTGAACCATCGGCCACAATCTTGCCATCTGTAAAAGAGGAATATTACAATTTAATTCTTTTAACAGGAAGAATGTAACGTCAAGAAATAACTCAATAAATTCTATCCAATTTTTTAATTAGTTGTCACTTTGCACAAATCGGAACTAATCGATCATGATATGTAAATATAGCCGTTTGACGTTCCTCTGAAGTATCGAAATATAATTTGCGTCACAAACGTGAACGTTTGTTGGCTTGTCCAATTGATACCAATTGCATCCATTTTACAATTGCCGCCGTTTGACACTAATTTATTGCAAGAGACAGACTAAAGTTCGGTACTATACTGTGAACGACAACGAATTCTTTCAATTAAGAGACACGGATATGTCCATAGGAGGTCGTGGATCAAGGTAATTCTAAACGATTTAATTGGCCAAACACTCGGCTCTTGTTTTCAATTATTTCACTCACAAGCAGGAATTATACAAATTACAATGTAGCTTCGAAATATATAATATTAAAGATATTCTAAATTAACCTTGCGCTACCTAATATGACCTCAAAATAATGTATTATATAATATGATTCTGATTACTTTTTCATTAAGATAAATAGATTGCATACATTAGTAAAAAAAAACTATATTTAGGAACATATGATTGATAAAATAAGCAAATGTGCCTTAATAGAAAGAATGATGTTCTCTGCGATTACAGCGAGTGCTCTGGCTTTCACGTGCACACCGAGTGAAACAAATTATTTCTTTGTGATAATCGAAGTTCTCTAAAACTTCGCGATAATAAGATTCTTTCTTTACTACTTTTTATTTACGCATGATAACTGAGGCAATAATGTTGGAATTCGGTATATTACGCATATAAAAAAATTAATTGATCATAACGAAAACTTTTTTTTAACACATACCATACAGTCAATGATTCATCGCTTTAAGTCAACAGTTTCCTTCTTTTGCTCGTAATCCGAAGGCAATTGCTATCGTTTCGCCTTGTGTCTAAATTTTATCGGGAGCGCGTAGACTTTGAATATAAACTAAGCCGGTTGCAAACCTGTTTACCATTAGAGATATTGATCCTCTTCTCCCCGGGGTAAGCTGTCCCCAGAGAGAGAGAGAGAGAGAGAGAGAGAGAGAGAGAGAGAGAGAGCATTGGATAGATCTGAATTCCGCGAAAACATGCAAGGAAGAAAACGAGTCCGCGAGAGTCGAGCTCTTAATCTCGGACGTTCTAAGACGGTAAATGCACTTGTCAAGATGAATTACAAATTTTTCTTCAAGTATCCAAGCAATAAAGACCTCCACGATATCAGCCGAGATAACTGGCTGTAACTGGTATGTATCTAGTAACGTGTAAGCACGCTTATGGACATTTACATATATTGAGAAAGATTAGCGCCATTTAAGAAGAACACAATGTCTACGACAAGATGCAAAGTGAACTAAGATAACGATTTGATCATCTCGATTGTACTATTTGTGGCAAATCCTTGATAGTAAAAACGTGATGAACGTGTAATGCATTACTTTGTTAATTCACTTTAAAATAGATTTATCAGATAAAGTCATGTATCGTTAGAAAAGCATACGTTGAACAATGTTAAAGTACAAAGGTGAGAAAGAGATAAGATAACAGGTACGAAAAATGCGGGCGCGGATTAAGATAAAATAATTGATTTGGATAAATTTGAACAGAAGAAAAGGACAGATAAATAGAAAACTTGATAGGATTACATTGCTTGTTTTGTGATAAGACAACGACGACGTCAATCAGGATTCGAGTATATCGATATAAGAAATCTGTGTTGCATTTAGATAACGCAATTTCATATATCTTGAGAAACAGGAGTGGGAACCTATCTGTACTATACGTTCTAAATCGTAAACAAGTGCTAAACTAATACTGAGTTTTATACATATGATTTGAATAATTTAACTGAAAACAGAAGTATTGACTTTTGTGGTGACGTTTAATGAAGGTACTGGATTTTTTCAAATAACGCGCATATTTTTCTTACTCTTATCTTAATTAGTCTTTTATCAACAATAATGTTGAACGTAGTGCACTCATCAAACTGCAATACCCGGAGTCAATCAGCGATTTGTGACTTCTCGGAGATATTTAAGAATATATAGTTCTTATCTACGTAAATATGTATTTGATATATATATATATATAT